AGGGCCTGGGGTGAGTTCACCACAGTCAGTTTAATATGAACCTGACTTGGATGTAGCACTGACATGCAGGTATTTTACTACAGCTCAATTAACATGCTTGTGGAAATCTTATGCAGTTGCAGGTGAAGCTGCACAGGTAGCTGGTGAGCTCATGGTCCAGGTTAAGATCATATGGAACATCAGTAGAATATTTTTCATATTAAGGCAGATTATTGACCTCTCTAGCACACTGCCAGAGGCTGAACTTAGGACCTTCTCATACAAAGCATATCCAGTATAATGGAAGGACGGACATATATGGAACCTGTGGGATTTGTGTTATTTTCTTCTGGTAGAAAGTGCAAAACAGTGGCTTTTAAAAAGTGCTGGACTTTCAACTAGAATGAATGAAAAGAGCATATCTGACTGCACGCTAAGGGTTGTTACTACGAGCCTTGAGCTCACAAATTCTTCACACAAAACTTCCCTATTACATTTTCTTGGAGGTGGATACGGGTGATGGAAAGAAATAGTTGCTGCTATTCCTGAACACTTAGAAATCTGAGTACTTTGGTATTCTACTACAAACTGTTTAGAGACCATAAAGAAAACTTGGCCAAAAGAATATTATCTTGGATGTCAACATCTATATGTTGAACAAAATACAAGGCACATTTACACCATCTTTATTTATTCAACGGGCTTAGTTGGAGATTCCCAAAAGCTTGATTATGATCACATAAATAGTGATACAAATTCTGCGGAGCTTGTTAGCAAATCTGAAATTCTGAGAGTGTATCATGGGTACTCTCGCACAGTGACTGCCATGATACATATGGCCAATCATGTAACAAGCATTTACTAAAAGGTAATATAATTAAGTTGATCTCTACCTTCCCATCTAATTCAAATTATGCTTTTTACCATTCAAGCTGACCTTGTTCTTTTGTTTTTCCTGGGCAGCTGGCAATACTTCCAAGCAAATCAGTAGACTGCAACTACCCAGCATTTTTTATTATAAGCTCCAGAGGCATTTTTCAAAGGGAAAAAAAAAAGGCTGAAACATGGAGCACTTTCTTTTTACTTACTAATTAACAGAATCTAAGAAAAGTCAGGTGTGGCAAAGGTGCTACTAGGGCCACTGGTTTTATGGGCACTCGATTGATTTTTTACAGCAACATTTCTTGGCAGCCTGTATGGTTTCCCTGGTTCTTTTCCTCCATGATAAATGTGCTTGTAATTGGGCAAAGCTAAATGAAAGAAATCACACTAACAACAGTCCTTACTATTTTTACATAGTGTTTTCCTAAACATTCATACTGTATACAGTTCTCTTATTTAATTTAAAATGGCCCTGATATTATCATCTGCATATTTGTGATGTGAAGAAAACCTAAATCTGAAACAATCATGATTTGTCTAATACCACCTTGTTAATTTTGGCCATCATGAGGGTTGAAATGGAAATTCTTTGATTTTAGCTTGCATGCTCAAACTTCACAGAAAGTCAGAGGATTCCTTGGAGTTATTTGCTATTGCAGTGGCAATATCATGGTGCTCAGGGGAGTCACTATAGCATAACTTTTGTACTGCTTAACTTATATTGCTTTCTTAAATAGATTTTTTCCCAGAAATGTGACTGACCAATAAGTATTTTACAGGATATATTTTACATCAGTTTAGTGTGCTTTGTTCCAGACTGGAGAAATCTTGCAATAACTCATTTTCTTGCATAGATAGATTTTTAAAAAG